TCTTTAATTGTTCTAATGTGTGTGCAGGCAGATGAAAAGAGACATTTGAGAAGGACAGCTTTCCAAATTAAGGACAGTTAATAATAATAATAGTAATGGATTTATTTTGTAAGCGCTTTTACAGGTGCTCAAAGTCGCTTTACAGAGATAGTGAAAAGAAAAGAACAACAAATAAATATACTTAAAGTCAAATTAAAATCAAGCAATACAACAACAATGGCGACTGTGGCTGTGAGGGGTGCGGTCGTCTTTCAACCAGAAGGTTGTTGGTTCGATCCCAGCCCATGCAGTCAACATGTCGATGTATCCTTGGGCAAGATACTTAACCCTGATGGCCAACGGTGTGAGTGTGTGTGAATGTTAGGTCCTAGAGTAAGGTACACTGCTCTGTATGAATGGGTGAACGACATGTAGTATGTAAAGCGCTTTGAGGGGTCGTAACGACTGGACAAAGCGCTATATAAGTACGTTGTATTGTATATACCGTCTTAGTACAATGAGGTTTCCAGCAGTTCAAAAATAAGCTCAGCTGAAGGCAATGTCTCCTAACAAGGTTGCTTGTTTACTATCGTACTGTTTGGTTCACAAAAATAACCCCTTTTTCTTTATTTCATTACACAATTAACTCCAGTTTCTCACTGTTTCCCCCCACAGCTGTGTCTCCTGTGGTCGCTGGGACACTGGTGGAGTTTCAGTGAACTCTCTGTACTTATGAGCGTCTGACCCTGACCTGAAACACCAGGCGTACTGTGTCTGACTTTGTGATATTACAGGGTGGTACTTCATTCCAGACATTCCCAAAAGATCAGAGAGGTAAAAGCTCAGAGTACCAGCACATCATGACAATGCTGCCCCAAAACCTCCACAAAAAAACACTTCATTTTAGACCCCAAAATGTCCTTGATTAGGTCAGAGGGAAGATATGTGAGGGCCGACAGACACCCGGACAATGGCGTCACTGTTGAGAAAAAAGTAAAAAAACGTCCTTCTTTTAGCCTTTTTTTAACTATTACAAGTCCTGTGAATGAGTCCTTTCTTTCTGTGTGTGTGAACTCTACAAAACATGTTCAGTGGCTATGTGACAACCGTAAGCACTTCACTGCACTCGGCTCCAGTGGCAAATAAACCCATTCTCATGTGTCATGGCACCTGTTACGGTTGGCTATTTTAGTATTTTGTATGTATTATGTTCTGTGTTGGTCTCCAGGGTCCAGGGGAGATAATCCCTCACACACACAGAGAGGAACTGACACATAAAGTACACTGGAAAGACTGAAACGCTTACTTTACTTAAATGTATTATGTCAACACATGTCATATAAATGTATTAGGTTAGTTGAAAGCAATAATATTAAGTTGAGCCTGTAACTTAATATTATTGCTTTCAACTAACCTACTACATTTCATCCGGCAGGCAATAAGACTGTTAACCAACTGAACTGCTGAAACAATTTCATAACATTCATCTGCTACTTAGTAATTATTTATCTATTATCTAATATATCATTCCAATAACTTGTATATACACTTCTTTTTCTCTCACTTTAAAAAAATACATTTTTCTTTTTGTATTACTTTTAATATAGTATATTTTAATATTGTTTTGATATTGTCTGCTTATCTGTATTATTGTGTTGCATTGTTGGAGAAGCCTGTGACCTAAGATTTTCAACGACATAACTATTCTGTAGCTATGTTAGTTTGACAATAAAGAACCTTGAACCTTGAACAGTTAAAGGTGGGGTAGGTAAGTTTGAGAAACCGGCTCGAGATCGCTAGAATTTGAAAATACACACCCGGAGAAAATCTGCCACTTCCTTATAGAGCCCCTCCTCCAACACAAACGAACGCGCACATGACCAATGAGGGCACGAGATAAGTTTGTGCCCCGATGGAAGGCTGACAGGCAGGTAGGCCAACCAATCCGTTTAGCCGGGCCGGCTAAACGGATTGGTTGTACTTGTTACAGTATTACGGCTTCCACAGATGACATTTTTTAATGGATTTTTTGTCAAAGCACTTAAGATATTCATTGCTATCGGGATGTTAAGAGATCCATGGAATATAACAAAAAGTGTATCTCGAGCCGGTTTCTGAAACTTACCTACCCCACCTTTAAATGAAATCTGTTGACATAATACATTTAAATAAAGTCAACTTTTCAGTTTTTTTAGTATATCTTTTGGCACTTTTGACAGGAAATGATCACGTTGATCGATTAATCCTATGATGCTTTTGTCTTTACACTGCTCACCCAATTATTTCCATTAAAGAGAGCGATGCTGTTCTTGTAATAAATCTGAGTAATGTGGAGAGACAAGAAGGCTATTGTTTAAAAGGTTTAGCTTCTTCAGGGATTTTTTTTTCTCCGATCGTGCCCAAACCAAGGCTTGAAAACCGAACCAAATAGTTCCCAACGTTTGTGAATTATGAGGGAAATAGAGAACATTACGTTTTGTTCCTCGAAATGCTTGGGTTTTATTCTGAGGGCTGAACCACTTTGAAACGGCGGATGGTTTATGGAGATGAAGGGAACAAAGTAGGGGACAATTCACAGATCAAAACTCAATCTAGTCTCCACTCCTTATTGAGGAGGTTGTGATCATGCAACACCACTGCCCTCTGCAGGAAATATGAACAAAAACTGTATTTTCCTTTTTTAAATGACTTTTAAATTAATTTCTTTGTGATTTACTTTATTTTCTGTCTCATAAGGGATGCAAACATAAGGATCATATAAAATGCACTTCTAGATACAGTACACCATTTTAAAGCTCAACAAGGCCAGAGAAAAAAGCGATTTAGTCTATAGGTTGTGGTCATGCAACACCACTGCCCTCTGCAGGATATATTAACAACAACAACAACAATAACTATTTTCCTTTTTTTAAATGACCTGAAAAAAGGGATTTCCATTTAAAATGAAGCAAATCAAATCTGAAAAGTAGATATATTCATGTACTTCTTTGTGATTTACTTAGCATTTTCTGTCTTCATAGGGACACACATACAGTAAGGATCATTTAAGATGCACTCATAACTGTATACAACTTTAAAGCTCAACAAGGCCGGAGAAAAAAGCTATGTTCTGTTACGTCATGCTTCATTAAATCCTGTTATGTTCTGGTGTATATCAGTATGTAGTGTCTCTACTTTAAAGAGTACTCTCCTGCTGATGTTCAGGTGTATATCAGTATGTAGTGTCTCTACTTTAAAGAGTCCTCTCCTGCTGATGTTCAGGTGTATATCAGTATGTAGTGTCTCTACTTTAAAGAGTCCTCTCCTGCTGATGTTCAGGTGTATATCAGTATGTAGTGTCTCTACTTTAAAGAGTCCTCTCCTGCTGATGTTCAGATGTATATCAGTATGTAGTGTCTCTACTTTAAAGAGTCCTCTCCTGCTGATGTTCAGGTGTATATCAGTATGTAGTGTCTCTACTTTAAAGAGTCCTCTCCTGCTGATGTTCAGGTGTATATCAGTATGTAGTAGTCTCTACTTTAAAGAGTCCTCTCCTGCTGATGTTCAGGTGTATATCAGTATGTAGTGTCTCTACTTTAAAGAGTCCTCTTCCTGCTGATGTTCAGATGTATATCAGTATGTAGTGTCTCTACTTTAAAGAGTCCTCTCCTGCTGATGTTCAGTGTATATCAGTAGTGTAGTGTCTCTACTTTAAGAGTCCTCTCCTGCTGATGTTCAGGTGTATATCAGTATGTAGTGTCTCTACTTTAAAGAGTCCTCTCCTGCTGATGTTCAGGTGTATATCAGTATGTAGTGTCTCTACTTTAAGAGTTCCTCTCCTGCTGATGTTCAGGTGTATATCAGTATGTAGTGTCTCTACTTAAAGAGCTCCTCTCCTGCTGATGTTCAGGTTGTATATCAGTATGTAGTGTCTCTACTTTCAAAGAGTCCTCTCCTGCTGATGTTCAGGTGTATATCAGTATGTAGTGTCTCTAAAGAGTTCTCCTCATGCTGATGTTCAGGTGTATATCGTATGTAGGTCTCTACTTTAAAGAGTTCTCTCCTGCTGATGTTCAGATGTATATCAGTATGTAGTGTCTCTACTTTAAAGAGTCCTCTCCTGCTGATGTTCAGGATGTATATCAGTATGTTGTGTCTCTACTTTAAAGAGTCCTCTCCTGCTGATGTTCAGGTGTATATCAGTATGTAGTGTCTCTACTTTAAGAGTCCTTCTCCTGCTGATGTTCAGGTGTATATCAGTATGTAGTGTCTCTACTTTAAAGAGTCCTCTCCTGCTGATGTTCAGGTGTATATCAGTATGTAGTGTCTCTACTTTAAAGAGTCCTCTCCTGCTGATGTTCAGGTGTATATCAGTATGTAGTGTCTCTACTTTAAAGAGTCCTCTCCCTGCTGATGTTCAGGTGTATATCAGTATGTAGGTGTCCTCTACTTTAACGAGTCCCTCTCCTGCCTGATGTTCAGGTGTATATCAGTATGTTGTGTCTCTACTTTAAAGAGTCCTCTCCTGCTGATGTTCAGGTGTATATCAGTATGTAGTTGTCTCTACTTTAAAGAGTCCTCTCCTGCTGATGTTCAGGTGTATATCAGTATGTAGTGTCTCTACTTTAAAGAGTCCTCTCCTGCTGATGTTCAGGTGTATATCAGTATGTAGTGTCTCTACATGTCTCCATGCTTTAAGGTTCAAAAAGCTCTTTATTGTTCTCATACTTCCTGTGCTGCAGCACCTCTCTTCACCCTCTGTCTGAAACCAGAGCCCAGTCTGCTCTGATTGGTTAGCTGGCCGGCTCTGTTGTGATTGGTCAACCGCTTAGAGATGTCCCACCCCTTAGCCTATCACGTACAATGTGTTGGAGCGCTAGCCAATAGAAGGCTAGTGTTACAAAGTGATGTCACTATGTCATGGAAGTAAACAAATTGGAGACCATTTACATGCACATAAACACTACAGGAAAGGGAACACATCAAAAAGCAAAATAGGGCTTCTTTAACAAAGTTTACCAGACAATATGTTGAACAAAATATTTGATTTATAGCAGTTTATTCATTCAAAGAATCAACTCAAGTCAGACAGCATGAAATCAGCTTGTTGTGCATTACATTGGGAAACGACTCTATCTAAAAATACATTCTATATACATTTATACATCAGTTCAGTGTGATTATTTCAACATTTTCTTTGTGGTTCTTTGTCTGATTACATCACGCCTAAAGTCCTGAAATAAACAAAACACACAAATCAGTATTGTCGAGTCTTTAGCTGCCACTACATTAAACAACACAAACATAGAGAAACACTTTACACTTCATTCAATATCATTTTTTCTGACCGTGAAAGTGGCCGACAAACAGAACTATGTCTCGTTCTGTATCATTTAAATAGAGCATGTTGTTTGTCCATCAGCTAACTTAAAATAACAAAAACACAAACAAAAACTATTAAATGTACAGTTTTAAATCCGTTTCATGGGATCTTTAGAGTAAATAAAGACATGGGGCAGTCGCAGTGCATTTAGTGCTAGTTATAGGGATCAGACGAGGCAGGAGTTTAAGATTTCTTGGAGTTCACAGCCTTTGTTGTTCTTGAATTGATGAAATCTGATTTCCTGTAGCCACACTGTGAAAACAAAGTGTTGATTATTGACACTATGGCCCAATCCCAAACCACGCCCTACACCCTACCCCTCCGTTTGTGTGGAGGGTCCGCCACATTAAGTGCTGTTCCAAACCAACGAGTGTGGAGGAGGAGTGGGCTATCAAGCCATCAAACAGCGAGGGTGTTTCTCAATGTCGAGGAAGGCTGCTCCAGAGCCACTATTTCAAGCATACTACGTCATCGAGTGCCGCCGAACGACTGTTCCAATGTCCAGCATACCGAGGCCGGCGTACTTCGTAGCGAGACATTTTGAGGCTGCACATGTGTAGACTCCGCGGTCTTAAAATCCCCACAATGCTTTGCGCACGGACCAATTTCCAAATCTTTGGCGGAAATCGCGCTCCATTTAAGGCGGGGCCTCGCATATGACGCACACCTGTTGGCCTGTTCCACCACTCTTCATTTTCCGAGGCTAGGAAGGATTCTTGCCTCGCTTCTGAAGCAAGTGACTTGGAAGACATGTGCTACCAAGCAAGCGTGCTCGACGACATTGAGAAACACCCCGAGTCTGCAGCGGTGCTGACTGGAGACCGGTCTCTCTCTGACCGGTCTCGACGCTGTGTGTGTCCGTCAGGATGTTAACAACCTCATGATAACCTCATATGTTTTTAACTTAGGATCAAACCTGTGTTTAGTCTAGAAAAAGGTAAATGTGTGCATTTTATTATAAAGTTGTGTATATTTACAGACTGTTGCAAAAACTAAGAAGCTTGTAAACATCAGGTTCAAAACTAAAAGAGTTTTACAAAAAAGCAACACAATTAAAGATGTTTGGAGTTTTATTTTAGTTCTTAATTTTAATGTTTTGTCAAAGAGAAGCTGATTTGAAACCGTTGTTACATTCAGTTACGGCATTTCCTGTTTCTACCGGAGAGGGGAGGCCGTCCCAAAGCTTGCCGCTGTATTTACTCCCTCCATCTGACAGGAGGGAGCCTCGTTGAGCTGCGAGTGTCACTACGTGTGTAGGGGCAGGGTGTAGGGCGTGGTTTGGGATTGGGCCGAAGTCTATAAACGGTCACTGCTCTTAAAGCCAATTTGAATGTGTTTAACTTTGGTGCCCTCTAGTGGTTATAAGAAGAAGAAGACACTGGGATAAAACAGGCCTGAATTACTGATAACATACTCTTATAAAGCAAATTACCGACTGTAGTTGATACATAAAAAGCAGATATACTTTAGGACACGACTCACAAAATATCAACGTTCAAAGTTAAGTTATACAGAAAAGACTGACAACTAATTGCTTTATCGAAATCAAGCAAAAACCAAAAGCGTTTATTAAAAGCTTCTAATTTGAGCCTCATAAACAATGATAAAAACATAAAAGAGGACACATGAATAAGACAGAGGCAATCCGGATGATGCTTAAGGAAAGACATGTGTTGTACTGTAATGTGTTGCACTGATAGGAACCAAAAGCGTTTATTAAAAGCTTCTAATATGAGCCTTACAAACAATGATAAAAACGCACCTTCCTGAAGGCCCCGTGCAGATCGCTGTATTTCCACATGCTGTGCAGCAGGACGCACGCTGCCTGGCCCTGCTCTCGTTGGTCCATAGCTAGAAAATGAACAGGTTAGATTTGTTTTCCCAAGAGGTAGGACCAAGACATTGTTTTGCAAGTTAAAAGTAAGTCTCAAGTGTTTGCAATCAGGCAAGTCTCAAGCTAAAACCTGACAAATCCAAAGTCATGTTGGAAAAGTCAAGGCTGAGGAGTTCAAAGTCGACTCCTTAGTAAAAACTGACGGGTTCAAAGACATGACTTACAGGTGAAAATGTAAGACTGACAAGTCCCAAGTGAATCCCGAACACAATACTTGATGTATTAAATCCTAAATATATCTTAATGTGCTCTTCACCCATTTTTGAAAATGCAAAGGTTCTTTTTCTCATGTCGATAAGGATGACTAAGACCTGAGTCTGACTCCAGTCCAATTCATGTGATCTGGAATTGATCTGGATTCACTGGAATCAAATTTACTATAATAACATGTCACAATTAAAGGTGGAGTAGGTAAGTTTGAGAAACCGGCTCGAGATACACTTGTTGTTATATTCCATGGAATGCTCTTAACATCCCGATAGCAATGAATATCTTAAGTGCTTTGACAAAAAATCCATAAAACAATGTCATCTGTTGAAGCCGTAGCGCTGTAAAAAGCACGACCAATCATCTGAGGCGGCCCGGCTAAAGTAACTGGATGGCCTACCTGCCTGTCAGCCTTCGATTTGGGCACAAACTTATCTCGTGCCCTCATTGGTCATGTGAGCGTTCGTGTGTGTTGGAGGAGGGGCTCTGTAAGGAAGTGGCAGATTTTTTCCGGTTGTGTATTTTCAAATTCTAGCGCACTCGAGCTGGTTTCTCCAAAATTACCGACCCCACCTTTAAACATTGATTGATTGATTGAATTTAGGTTAAAAAAAACTACCCGTCAGATGCGTCTGGATGAATAATTTCTTAAAAGGTACCAAACAAATAAGAGTGCCATCACATTCATATAGTGCTGGGAAATGATTCCGTTTTTTTTGGATCACATTTCAACTTCAGTGTACATATACATATGTAGTTAAATTGTTTTACCGAGTGGTCCGTCTTTTTTTATTTTTCTTGACAAAACAACCACAATAAGCTCACAAGAACATGGGGTGTTTTCTTTTCAATATAACACATTGATAGTATAGATCATTAAATAAAAGATTTAAACAAAAGAAGGGCGTTTCGGGGTAATACACACTTTCCATTTCTCCCAAATGTCCTCACATGTAAGTTCCTGGAGCCTCATAGAGACGGTTATTCTTTCCATTACAAAGATTTCATAAATGATATCGTACCAATCCTCTATAGATGGGCTGCTTGGTTTGAGCCATTTCTTTGTGATTGCTTTCCTCACAGCTACACTCAACTACGCACCAAATAAGTGTTTCGTTTTAATATTTCAGTGATTCCGTGTTATATCACGAGGAGTGTTACTGACCCGTTGTCCTTGCTGCTGATGTTGATGATGTTGGGCAGCGCTCCCTGGTTGAAGATGGCTCTGACGTTCTGCATGTCGCTCTGGCTCAGATTGAGCAGGGTGTTACAGAGCGTGGCCGTCACCTCGGTGGACACATCGGTGCCGGTGTCGTCGCTCGGTAACATCTCCACCATCTCTGACAACACCTGCTTCACTTCAGGAGGAGGAGAAGAATTAGTCTAGTTTCCAGCTCCTGCTGTGAACCTAGAAATGTAGAGTACCCCAACGTCTTATGATTGAGATGTATAGTACGGGTCTCCAGCACACAAACTGCCAGATGCTAACTTGCATATGTTGGGCAATTTGCACAAATAGCCTAAGTTGCATTAAGTAGCATATACTGAAGGTTTAGGAGGTTATTGAGGAGGCCAAATCCATTTAAAAAATGTTCAGGATCCAAAATCCTGCAGGTCTCCCTTGAAACAGAGATCGTTGATCTGAATGGGATTTTCACCTGGTTAAATAAAGGCTACAAACAAACAAAATGGCAGTTGTAAGCAGCAAGTGGCCATATTTGCACTCTGTGGGCTAATTCTGATTCAGATTTAAAAGTTTCAGGGGACTCAAAACTGCCATTTTTGATCCTGAAAATATCAGAAATTGACTCACCATCCTCAATAACCTCCAAAACCACAGCATAAATTGTCCAAATGGGCCAAGACATTTTGTTGCTATCGTCTGCATAAGCTACTTAATGCAACTTATGCTAATTGTGCAAATTGCCCCACAGATGCAAGTTAGCATCCGGCAGTTTCTATGTGCTGGGGACCCATACTATACATTTCAAAAATGAAACTTTGGGGTGCTCAATTGTGAAGAATGAACTCTAAGTTTAGTTCAAGTAAGTGTATTTTGTTGCAACCAGTTACCGATCTCGGCGTGCAGCTCCTGGTATCGTGAGAGGTTTTTAACGACAGACAGAGCCGTCCTCTTCACATCGTTCTCTCCCTCCTCCAACATCCTCTTCACGTGCTGGAGGCCATTTTCCCGCTGGACGATAGTGAAGGCGATGGATTCACTCCTCTGCAGGGTCCCATATATCAGAGTCCAGGTTAATAAAATACGAACACAGGATATTTGCTACTAAACGTATCGGACATGTACGACCCTACTAACATCTCTCAATAGCAGAGCACAGAGGGAATAACACTTCATAATGTTTCCTGTTAACAGATTGAACTCAGGAGGTTTCCTTCTTACCGCCCCGCTGCCGGCGGTGATGTTCTGCAGCGCCCCGAGCGCCGCCTCCTGCGTGCCGGTCCTCACGCTGCGGGCCATCAGAGACAGGTACATGCGGACCGTGATGGCGCTCCACAGCCACTCCACCCCCCGAGGGTTAGACTTCTCCTTCAGGAGCGGCCACTCTCGCTCCAGATCCTGGGAACAAACACTGGATGAGCTCAGAATCCCTTTATTAGTCCCACAGAGGGGAAAGAGCCAAAGACAGCTTAATGTTACCTAAGAAGCATGCATACAATTAAAAAAATTAAATATATATATAAACCATCCTATTATAATTATTTATTTAGCGAATATATATATATATATATATATTTCAGTAATATTTATGTAATCTATTGATAATTGTAAATGTATATTGTATGTTGACATACATTTAGTTAAAAGAAAAAAAATATGTAAGTAAATAATTTAGTTTGTGGGAGAAGGGGTGGGATTAAATTAGGGCTGCTCGATTATGGCAAAAATCATAATCTCGATTATTTGGATAAATAATTTATATTGCGATTATTAAATGCGATTATTCATTGACTTTGAAAACATCCATTTATTGGAGAAAAATAATTTGAACAATATGTTTTTAACAGTTGATTGCCCCGAACTTTAAGTATAATTCAACTGAAAAACCAAAAAATTAAAAATAATAAAAAAATAATCGTTTTATTTCGATTACGTTGTTTTCGTAATCGTTGCAAGCCATAATCGTAATCGCGATTAAAATACGATTAATTGAGCAGCCCTAGATTAAATAAACTTCTTCCCACCCCTCTTCAGGTAAGTAGGCAGATCATTTGTTTAAATATCATTTGTAAGTCAATAATATTTGTGTTATCAATTTGATACTGCTTAAGTTTGTACAGTATTATAATTATCATGTTTCATTTAATTCTAATTTGTTGTATTATTGTTTTACACATTCGAAATACAAAAACAAATCAAATCAAATGCTAACGTGAATCCCAGTGACTCTCTATGCCATCACAGTCATTTCAAAGATAGCAGCACTAAAAGCAGTGCTGACACAGAAGCACATGAAAAAGCTCTCTGATGTTCCTCTCCCGCTAAATATGATTGCCTTCTAAAGAGCAAGCTGTATGGCTGATTAAACCTGCACGCAATACTGCTCTTAAATATCATACTGCAAGAACATCGCGTGTATAGTCAACGGGGATTACCTGCGTGATCTTAGCGCTGCGATAAGCGAAGCAGCCGACAGCTGTTTCCTTCGGAGTCAAGTTTTGTCGAGACTCTGTGATATCTGCGATCCTCTGAGGGAGCTCGGCCTCCATCTGATAGGACAGGTTGTGCAGGATGCAGACGCAGTTCTCTGTGGACTGAAGAGCAGACATGTAGATAAATAATAAGTATGTAGGTAAATAAACAGTATATATATATTTTAGATATATATATTTGACCTCCTTGTGTCTCTTAAACTGCTGCATGTTTCCAAAAAAACGTTTTAATGTGTGCCAATTTGTTAAAGCACTTTGTGCAGCACATTGGTGCATGACAGTCGCTATACGAACACATCTGTATTATTAAAATGTGGTTGTGTATGCATCAACAAATGGATATATAGAGCACATCCTTTCACCTTGTCGTCCGTCTTGTAGTCAGCCACCGCTCCCCGGATGTAGTAGACCAGAGAGTCGATCAGATTCTCACATTCCCTCATCGCCTTCCTGCCGTCGGGACCGGCAGAGCTCAGATTCCTGGGAACAGAAAGAAAAACAATCGAGGTCATGTGACGTGTGTGTGTGTGTGTGTGTGTGTGTGTGTGTGCGTGTGTGTGTTTCAATCACACACTCACTGACCCATTAAAGAATACCCACATGACAGAGAGCCAATAAAAGTCTGTTTCTGTCAGACCAGAATTGCAAGAAGTGTGTGTGTGTGTGTGTGTGTGTGTGTGTGTGTGTGTGTGTGTGTGTGTGTGTGTGTGTGTGTGGACAAAATGGAGGTCCCCCAATCATTAATTTTAGGGTGAAGACTTGGTTAGGGTTAGGTTAAGGGTTAGGCATGTGTTGGTTATGGTTAAGGTTAGGATAAGTCTCCAGGAAATGCATGTAAGTCAATGTAATGTCCCCTGAAGTGATGTATACATAGTGTGTGTGTGTGTGTGTGTGTGTGTGTGTGTGTGTGTGTGTTTCAATCACACACCCACTGACCCATTAGAGAATACCCACATGACAGAGAGCCAATAAAAGTCTGTTTCTGGCAGACCAGAATTGCAAGACGTCAATGGATTTGAATGATATCCAACTTCCAGAGGAAAATAAATACAAGGATTGTTATTCTGTGTCCCGAAACAGGTTATTTGCGCAGTAATATAATATAAACCGGAGAGAAACTCATCATTTTTATCATCCGCAGGGACCTGGAAAGGATAGAGAACATGAAGAGGAGAACTTGATAACATGAGGCCGGCGAGGAGCGCATGAATTATTCAGCTTCCTCCTTTGAATCGCCTTCATCTGCTGCTTCGTACACAGACTCACAGTGTGCCTCAACAACATGATACACAACGTGATACACAACGTGAGACACCAGGAGATAAATTGTAGTTCCACACAATGCCATGATGTTGTATAAAGATAGGATTGGGATGTTTTGGTCGCTATGCTTCATGAGAAAGCAGCGTTTATTCAGGCTTTATATGATGCGGTAGTTAGTGGAAACTGAACTAGTTATTTGTGGCTAATGAGGAAGAAATTGTAAATATCACAAGCTACCACGCTGGAAAGGTAATTGAATGGTTGACACAGTTATTTAATGATTAAACAGTTGGAACAGTTGTATACCTGTATACCAACACGTGTGTATCTTTACTGCTTATTTGTACTGTTAGCTAATTCAATCAATCAGTGTTTATTTATATAGCCCAATATCACAAATGTTACATTTGTCTCAGTGGTCTTCACAGTGTGTACAGAATATCAGTATGACAATACGACACCCTCTGTCCTTAGACCCTCTGTCCTTAGACCCTCACATCGTACAAGGAAAAACTTCCGGAGAAAACCCACAGTTTAAAGGGGAACATGGGAGAAACCTCAGGGAGAGCAACAGAGGAGGGATCCCTCTCCCAGGACGGACAGACGTGCAATAGATGCTGTGTGTACATTGAAAAGATAATACATTTGCAACATAGGTGGACCAAATGTTTGGAAATGCATGTGTGTATAATAGGAAGAAAATCCCCTTGGTGGAATATAATACATCGTAGGATTTAGCATGTTAATATTTTGTATCAATGGTAGCTTGATGTATCATGATGACGTTGCACCATCAGCAGGTTCACAAGAGATGTAATAAACACAATGTTAGTTTTTACATACTTCAATGTGATCTCAAATGGTCCAAGTTGTAGACACCTCCCCAAAGTAAGGGCACGCCAGATGTCAAGATTACAGACCAATCAGATCAAACGTTGTCTTATTTCTTCCTATAATACCAATTCATCTTTGGGTTAGCGCCATGATTGTGCATGGTAGCTTTTTGATGCTAACATTCTGCACAATTGCACACTCTTGGATATTTCTATCAACACGTAGCTGTCCTGTTTTCTTCTCTAAAGTATTTTATATTTTTCAACAACATTCACCCTAAATCAAACACAGCGATAGTTCGTTCTGCAGCAAAACAGTCGGTATGTCTTATTTCTTATTACAGCAAGACTCAGATAAGGGAGGTCTATGTTGAGAGACTGTTGACTCACAGCTCAGCTGATACTGTACTGTAATGTTATTGTATTATTGTTATATTACTGCGGTTATGCAATCTGTCAACTCTTACCCTACTTTGATATCATCAAGTCATTCCTAAGGACGCAGTGACAAAACTCGGGTTATACTGCACGTCTGCTTCACTGCTGACAGATTGTAAACTATATTTATTCAACATGATCATCCATTTTTCTTTAAGAGACAACATCCTTTATTTGAGCAGGACCTGTGAACTCATACTTGTTATTTCTTGTCATTGTAAAAGTTATTTCTTTTTGGTTGTTTTGTACAAAAACATAGATTTGTGCGGTGGTGGCGAAGTCGATAGGGACTTGGCTTGGCAACTGGAAGGTCACCAGTTCAAGTCCCGGCAAGACCAAGTGCTACCGAGGTGTCCCTGAGCAAGGCACCGTTCCCCACACTGCTCCCCGGGCGCCGTTCAAAATGGCAGCACACTGCTCCTAACACTAGGATGGGTCAAATGCAGAGAAACAATTTCCCCACGAGGATTAATAAAAGTCCATCTTATCTTAAAACAATGAATCCAATATCACGGATTCTGATGACGATGACCTAATCTTTTATTTTAAGACAAATGTACGCTAGAGGGGGACGGACCAAAATGTGTTTAAGCTTCTTCTTCTTGCCCCTGTTGAACCTGACGGAGACTATTTGAGAATTCATTTTATTTTTTGTACCTTGAACGTTTTTGTTTTGCCTTTCTTTGTTATAATTATTATTATACTTTTTTTTAAAAACATTATTATAATTGTTGTATGTTTTGTTTCCGACTTGTTCCATAAATAGACTAATATTTAATGTCTAGCAAATTTGTGAATCCTTTTGTGGAAATGCTGTATTCAGCGCGGTCTGAGCTGCATATCTGACACCAGAGGAGGCGTCTGTTTACTCACATCTATTCATCCTCTCTGCAGAAGCTGCCGGAGTATCTTGTTTCAGGATAACAAAAAGGATCTGTTAAGAGTTAAGAGCCATCATTGCTCTTAACACCTGAATCAATGTGACTCTGTACACATATATCATTACTATTATTATTATTATAAATACCTACTATTATTATTTATTACATTACAGATTTTATTTGTATACTCCTGGAAATAATTACTGCACTTTATTCCTAAGTATGTATGCTGCATGTATTTGTTGTCTTATGTTGTGATGTTTTTGTTTTGATGGCACCCTTGAAAGGGAGAAGCATTTATTATTATCTCATTGTACATGTATAATGACATTAAACGATTCTATTCTATTCTATCTCACCGCAGGCAGCCGGTGACGTTGTGGAAAGCGTCGGCGTCAGCCAGCAGCTCGTCTTTTGGGTTTTCTCCTTCAAAAATGCCGGAGCTTGGAACCAGAACGGAGTGAGTGAGGACGGAGAGGGACGCTCCTCTGGAGAGACGCTCCTTCAGGAGGTCGTGAGAGGAGAGATTCCACAAGAGCCCTGGGAGGGAGATGACAATACACTTTATTATAGGCAAAGACATTTGTTGAAATATCTAAGTTTAAAGGGGCACTATCATGTTTTATGGTGTTTCCCCTTTCCTGCAGTGTGTTATATGGATTTGTGTGCATGTCAATGGTCTGTAAAGGCTAGTTTATCTCCCACACAACCCCTCCCCCCCCTGCCTGAAACGCCTCCATTGGACTCCTTTATTTACCTCTGTAACACAATGACATCACTATGTAACACACATTACTCAAATGGTAAGTCCTTAATGACTCGGCTGAGACTCACTTGACAGAAGTTCAGTAACACTTACTCAGAAGAGAGGACACAACAGGAGAGTTTTTAAAATGTAAATTAGGTTAACATGTATAATATGTTGAGCAATCTTTTTCCAATATTGACACCACTTACAGTCCATTTTTATGGCATTATAACTGTTGATGCTACACAAAATACATTTCTCACCAGTGCAGCAATGACTGTGCTGTTTCCAATGAGTTTTATATAGCAGTGGCCAACAATGGGTGAGATGTGAAGAAGTAAAAGAAGCCACTAACAGTAAAGAAAGTAAGTTCAGGTGTGAGCAGCAATCCCATATCAACCACTGACCTGTCAGCTGCTGCCTGGTCTCCAGATCCCGGCTGCTCTTCAGCGTCTGCAGGACGGAGTTCAGCCCGTTGCTCTCCTTCACCTCCATCTTGTTCTCGCTGCTCTGGTAGACGACGTTTCGCAGCGCTCCTGCGGCGAGGCGCTGCACCTCCTCGTGGTCGTGGTTCAGCAGCTGCTGGAGCTTTCCTATCCCACGCAGATAGTACACCTGGAAACAAAATGGATTACTGATTTAAAGATAATTCGGGACAGAGAGGCGCACGGCGTGAGATATATCAACAACATAGAAGAGCTTAAATCTCTTCTAAAGCCATAGACATTCAAAGAGTCTCGGGGAGGTCTTTGAGTGTGATTTTTTATGTCTAGGCTTGGAGTACTGTTCATTTTTTAGAGCTAGTTTTATTGAGTCTTAGACCAGGGTCAAATTGCCTATTTAGTTGTTTTCCTTTATACTACCTCGTCCTGTTTTTTTTAAAGGGGACCTCATGCAAAATGCACTTTGTGGTGTCTTTTATACATAAATATGTGTCCCCCTGTGTCGGGGAACTCACGCAGCGTCAGAAAATAAAACCCTCTCTCTTTTCCTCCGTACCCAAATCTTTTAAAAACAGGGGTACAACGAGCGGATACAGATTTGCTGCCGATCTGACGTCAAATCGGCAGCGGACCCGCAGAAAATTGCTATCAGAAACCAATGCCTGACGTGTTTTGGACGTAATCTCGTCTTTATTTACATTAGCAAGCCTCGCTAACACTCAGAGCTAACCTGTACTGGAGAGCACATGTGATAAAAAGCAGGAAATAAAAAAAGGAACTCACCTTATAATTTGAGCTCCATACTGTTTCAGAAATAATCTTTGATGTGGTTTAAACAGGATGGTGTTTTATCACAGCAGAATTTAACTTTATCTCCGGTAGAATTCTGATCAGGCATTAGCTCCGCCTCCTCTTTTTTTTTTTTAAGCTAAGGACCCAAAATCCGTGTTTCTCTAACAGGGCTGCAAAAGAGGGGTTTGAGCAGTATGAGGCATGGCTACAATGGAGGATCTGTTTGGTATTTTAAGAAAAACACTTCACAGACATGTTTTGTATAGGTATGGCCCTACAATATATTGTTCCAATATAGCATGATAGTTGTTGTGCAATAACAAAAAGACTGTCAGCTTTAGTTTCATCTCATTCGAAGAAAAAGACAACCAATGAGAAACGTTACATCCCTTTAGGTTCCTCAAAACAAGGAACAGTATTTGATGCAAACACTCGGTAAGACATTGGTTCATGTAAACAACCAACAGAAGCACAGAGGCTAAATAACGCAATTACTACCACTGAAAAAAAACCTTTCAACTACGAACAAATCAGAGTGTTTTTATATCTCTCATGTGATCATCTAAGATGGGTTTCACACGTTTATCTTTCAGCGTATTCTATTTTGAATCACTGTAATGATCCCACACCATGCATATGATCAAACATACCATCTTCCTGGCCTCAGCGCTCTTGAAACATTGGTTCTGGATGTATCCGGCTGCACTGATCAGCGTCTCCTCGTTATCCTCCTGACTCAGCAGGTTCACGGCCCGCTCCAACGTCATCTCTGGAGGCCTCTCTGACTTCCTGTGTGAGGAAGCACAATGCAAGCACATGTTAAGATGTGGGCTTCACTACACACATGTTAGGCTGGAGGTTCAACCTGCTATAACTGACGTTTTCCTTCCTAAATTCTCCCACACCACTCCGCTCCTCCGCTCCCTTCACTGGCTTCCGGTAACTGCTAGAATCCACTTCAAGACACTGGTACTTGCTTACCATGCTGCGAATGGATCTGGCCCTTCCTACATCCAGGACATGGTTAAACCGTACACCCCAGCGCGTGCACTACGCTCTGCATCAGCCAAACGACTCGTTGCGCCCTCGCTGCGAGGGGGACCCAAGTTCCCATCGGCCAAAACACGTGGGTTTGCTGTCCTGGCTCCAAGATGGTGGAATGAGCTCCCCATTGACATCAGGACGGCAGATAGCTTGCACATCTTCCGGCGCAAACTGAAAACTCATCTCTTTCGACTCCACTTCGAGCGTTAGAACTATTAACGAAGCACTTTTATACTAATAAAGGGCTGGCTTACCTAAAGCCAGTTGAGTAGCACTTGAAATGTTTGGCTCTATGAAACCTGATGTACTTATATGATTCTGTTTTCTTCAAGGTTGTATCTTCCTGGTCGAATGTACTTATTGTAAGTCGCTTTGGATAAAAGCGTCAGCTAAATGCAATGTAATGTAATGTAATGTTTTACTTTTACTTCTTACATTTTGAACCCAAATACCTGTACTTTCTACTTCTTACATGTTGAACCCAAATACCTGTACTTTCTACTTCTTACATGTTGAACCCAAATACCTGTACTTTCTACTTCTTACATGTTGAACCCAAATACCTGTACTTTCTACTTCTTACATGTTGAACCCAAATACCTGTACTTTCTACTTCTTACATGTTAAACACAAATACCTGTACTTTCTACTTCTTACATGTTGAACCCAAATACCTGTACTTTCTACTTCTTACATGTTGAACACAAATACCTGTACTTTCTACTTCTTACATGTTGAACTCAAATACCTGTACTTTCTACTTCTTACATGTTGAACTCAAATACCTGTACTTTCTACTTCTTACATGTTGAACCCAAATACCTGTACTTTCTACTTCTCTCATTTTCCAAACGGCTGGTTCCTTTAGTCTGAATGTGTGTTTGGTGCGTGATCATTATTCTTTAGAGTCATTGCGTGCCTATTGATTTGAACACGATCCGTGTATCCATCATTTCCTGGTCTTCTCTAAAGAAGAGGGACCAATGAAAACGTTGTCATGTTGCCGTTGTTCAGCATGGAAACATTCATTAGCTAACAATGACATTATTGTTCTATTAATATAAAGGGAGGTCAGGTACTCTTTAAAACAGCTGCTAGTTATGGGTACTTTTTACTGAAGTGCATTTCAAAGCCCTCTTTACTTTTACTTGAGTAAAGAAGTTTAGTCAGTACTTCTACCTTTACCAGAGTATTTTTAAACCCGAGTATCTGTACTTCTACTTGAGTAAAGAGTATTTTTGCCATCTCTGATAGTGTCCTGCAATAAGACAAGTGAACTCATGTGGTCTTACACTGTCCTGACGGTCTGTGCGTGTTTCTGCTGAAAGGGCAGATCCACCTCCATCTGTCTCCCCATGTCCACGCTGGTGAGGGAGGCGGGGTATGAGTTCAGTCTGCGGAGCCCCAGCCCGTCCCTCCTGACCCGAGCCAGCCAGGACAGCCCCCCGTCCGGAGGCTGGGTTCCCACGGTGTGCTGGTCCTGTCTGACGGGGTTTTGGCTCCATCCATATTCTCCATCCTCCCATATACCCTGCTGAAACACAGGCTGTGGCCCCTCCTGTCTGATGGATCTGTGCTGGAACGTTCCCTGATTAGAAGAAGCCGTGATTGGACGAGTCACACGAAGAGGTGCTTCTGAGAAGGCGTATCGGCGGAAGGATTCGGACCCGTGAGAGAAGCCCATCCCTGCCCTGTGGGAGGGATTTGGCCCCGGGTGGGTGTAGGTCCCGTAACGGAGGGTGCTGGAGTTGAAGCGAGGTAACTCTAGGCTGGGCGGGGGGGAAACTTCCATCCTCCTGGAGGGTCTCCGCACATTGTGGCTCGATAGGGAGCGGTAAGTGGGACCCCATCCGTTTACCTGTGAGGGAAACACAAGGTGAACTTTAAAGGTCTCCTATTATACTGTTTTTCATCAATATATTACAGGTCTCAGATATATACAAAACCTGTCTCTGATTGGCTGAAACACCAAACAGATCATTGCAGCATTACCCATAATCCCCTCTGTTTCAGCCCCGTTTCAAAGGTGCTGATTCTCTGTCTGTTACTTTAGATCAGGGGTCTCCAACCTTTCTTCCTCTGAGAGCTACTTTGAAAAAATGAAAGTGCAAGAGCTACTTGCATCACATCGCTTACATTTATTCACATAGCACTTATCAGTTGAATTAAGCTACTTTTGTACACGTGTGAAATTGCAATACCCAAAAAAAATGTTAACTTCACATCAAAGTCCAAGAACACGACAATTTCTCACTTCTTAGTATGGCCCACATAGTAAATACATCACCTTAATCACCACCTTACAAGCATCTTATGGCACATGTGTAAAATAAGTGCATACACTCTTTTTCACAGTCAGTGAGACGAATGGCGCTGCATGGAGTCCACCATAGAGGGGTCTGCTGGACTCACTTAGGTTCACTCTAATAGAATCACTTAAATGTTCATCAGTCGGTCTTGTTCTGTATTTAGATTTCATGACATTCATGTCAGAAAAAGCTGCTTCACAAAGTAGAACCAAATAAAGCAGACATGTTCAGTGCTGCTTGGTGAATGTTCTTAGAGTTTTCTGGGTCTACAAGGCTCCAGAAATGTTGTGAGTTTAGCCGAGACTTAAGCTGAACATGATTTTGGAGATTTATAACCTCCATCTCCATCTCCCCAGGATTGACACTGGACAGTTCAGCCATCTTCTTCTTCGTCTTGACGTGAAATTATGAACCATAATAAATCAAGTGTGTAGGGCTAGCCTCCCTGTATATCTGTGTGTGAAATTGTTCCATCCTCAAAAACAAAAAAACAATACTTCTGCAGTCTAGCTGCAGCTTCTAGCAACGGTGTGTGAAATTGTTCCATCCTCAAAAACAAAAAAACAATACTTCTGCAGTCTAGCTGCAGCTTCTAGCAACGGTCTTCTGTTAAAAAAAAGGACACTGAATGTCCTGAATGAGGCCTCACACACATGACTTGAGTCTGGTCTGAACACAGCAGACAACAGGAGTACAACAACAGCATATAACAACAAAAATAGTGCATGTGGTTGCACACTTATTCTCTGTTTTACTGTTACATAAATCCCATGAATGTATCTATGAGATTAAGTTAGCTTCATCATATCCCAATCAGTGATTAAGTGAATAATAACGTTTCTATCGGGTCACTATCAGCCTGTCACTCATTATTTTCAGGAGGGGGCGGGGTTTGGAGGAACAGAGGAGACGGTGATCGCGGAAGCTTTCCTCCTGCCTTCACAAACTTTACACACACTTATTTATCAACTGAAAATAGCAAGAGGACATTCATACTCTGCAATCCAAGACTTAATTAAATCCACCAAAAACCTGACATGGTGCTAACGCGAGTATTTTTTTAAACATAATGTGTGTCTGTCTGAGCCGCAGCGACACGGACTGATTCAGGTGCATTTATTATCGTCGGATTTTTTCTACACAGTCAGTGAACCCGCGAGCTACTGAAAAGCTCCCCGCGAGCTGTTTCCTTGGTTGCTGATTGGCTAATGGTTACACAAGCCAAAAAATCGTCATGACATCATAAAGTGGCCAAAATCTGATCAGCTCATTTTCAGACAGGTTTTTATAGAAATGGATCAGGACAAAAAGAGAGAATATTTTTTCCTGAAACTTTCAGAGTCTCTTTCAACAGAGGGGACACATGTTGATGTAGAAGAGACATGGAGACGAGGGGACACATGTTGATGTGACGACATTACCGACATGTCGGTGACGACATTACCTATTGAGGCAGCAACCACTGTAAGTTATATTCTTGTTTAATTAGACTTCTCTGTTTCATTTATTCGACTCTGTATAAATTGTTATTGTAGCGTAAACGGCTAAATCGCGTTTGAGAGATTTTAAATCTCAGATCTGCTCAGGCGAAACCTGCTTTACAGGTCTCAGCACTCAAGCCTGCATTAATATAGGCACGGCTAGTCTATTGTCGCCCATCAGCTGTAGATAGTTAACTAATTAGAGGGCCGTGGCCCTACAGCTGTGAGAACTGAGCAATCAGGCGTCCATTTCGGGTAGCTCTTTCCTGGAGCGTCAGCTTCAGCGTCAGACAGCCGAAGACTGACAAAGACATTGGAGTCCTGCGGGAGTAAGACTGACAAAGACATTGGAGTCCTGCGGGAGTCACGAGGGAGGCAAAGAGGAGGCAAATCCTACTCTGATCGAGCTGGTGTCTTATTTCTCTTTTCTTTAGTTTTCTGGCCCCTCATGCTATAATCATGTGTATTTTCTCTATTCCTGTTCATGTGTCTTCTCGCAATTATCACTGGCCCCGTGTATCTCCTAATCGATATAACCGGCCTGCTCTCGTCTATCCCACGTGCTCCACTGAGATCCAACATCTAGTTTCTGGTGGCCTGTGGAATTGCCAGTCAGCTGTTCCTAAGGCTGACTTCATCTCTGGCTACACCTCCCTGCAGTCTCTGGATTTCCTTGCTCTCACTGAGACCTGGATTACTCCATCCAACACATCCACCCCAGCAGCTCTCTCCACTGCATATTCCTTCTCCCATACACCCAGACCCACTGGCAGAGGAGGTGGCACTGGTCTCCTGCTCTCTCCCAAATGGAGCTTTTCCCTCTTCAAGCTACCTAACTTCACTCCTTCCACCTTTGAATTCCATGCCGTAACAGTAACCCATCCTATACAGTTAACCATTGTTGTTCTCTACCGTCCACCAGGCGCCTTGGGGGACTTCTTGGAGGAATTAGATAATCTCCTCTCACTCATCCCTGAAACTGGCCCTCCCGCTGTACTTCTCGGAGACTTCAACCTCCAGACGGGGAAGATAGACGAACTAACATCTCTGTTAACCGCCTTTGCTTTCTCACTGTCTCCGTCCCCACCGACTCATAAAGCTGGCAATGTCCTTGATCTCATATTCTCAAGGAACTGCGCTACTTCTAACCTCTCTGTAAACCCGCTCCACACATCCGATCACTTCTTCATTTCATTCTCTCTATCCCTTTCCAAACATAACAAACTAATCTCTTCTCATCCTGCACTTGTCCGCCGTAACCTTCGTTCCCTCTCCCCCTCTACCTTTGCCTCGTCGGTGCTCTCAGCCCTCCCTTCCTCTGATTCGTTCCATCTCCTGCCTCCAAACTCTGCTGCAGAAACTCTCCTCTCTACTCTCTCATCCACTCTGGACTCGCTCTGTCCTCTCACATCTCGGCAGGCTCGTCAGTCCCCTCCTGCTCCCTGGCTAAATGATGCACTGCGTGCTAATATAACCGTCCTTAGGGCAGCAGAGCGGAAATGGTCGAAATCCAAACACCGTGACGACCTCCTAACCTATCAGGCTCTCCTCTCCTCTTTCTCCGCTTCGATCTCTCAGGCAAAAAGCACTTTCTTTCAAGATAAGATCCAATCTTCCTATTCCAATCCTAAAAAAACTATTTTCCATCTTCTCCACCCTCTTGGACCCTCCAAAAGCTCCTCCCCCCTCCTCCTTCTGTCAAGCGACTTTGTTACCCACTTTGAAAAAAGGTTGATGATATTCGCTCTTCTTTTTCTGACTCACCTCTACTCACCGCTGGGTCACCAGACCCTCCTTCCACCAACACACTGACCTCCTTTTCCCCCTCTCTCTCCAAGTGAGGTTCTTACCCTCATTACCTCTGCCCGCCCTACCACCTGTCCTCTGGACCCTATCCCTTCAAACCTCCTTCAGACTATCGCTCCTGATATTCTACCGTTTCTCACCCATTTCATCAACACTTCTCTAACTTCTGGTCACTTTCCAAACAGTCTCAAGGAGGCAAGAGTAAACCCTCTCCTAAAGAAACCCACTCTCAACCCGTCTGATGTTATAAACTACAGGCCTGTCTCTCTCCTCCCGTTCCTGTCTAAATCACTTGAACGCGCTGTCTTTAAACAACTCTCCTGTTATCTCCATGCAGAACAACCTTCTGGATCCGCACCAGTCTGGTTTCAAGGCAGGTCACTCCACAGAAACTGCTCTCATTGCTGTCACGGAGGAACTGCACACTGCCAAAACTGCATCCCTCTCCTCTGTCATCATCCTATTGGACCTGTCTGCTGCATTCGACACGGTGAATCATCAGATCCTCCTTCGCACTCTCCAAAAACTTGGAGTTTCAGGCTCTGCACTTTCCCTCCTCACCTCATATCTGAAAGACCGTACCTACAGGGTGACTTGGAGAGGGTCTGAGTCCGACCCTTGTCAATTAACTACGGGGGTCCCTCAGGGCTCTGTTCTTGGTCCCCTCCTCTTCTCCCTGTACACAAACTCGCTCGGATCAGTCATTAGCCCGCATGGTTTTTCTTACCACTGCTACGCTGATGACAACCAATTAATTCTGTCCTTTCACCGCTCAGAGACCCAGGTCGTTGCACGCATCTCTGCTTGTCTAGCTGACATCTCTCAGTGGATGTCTGCTCACCACCTCAAGCTCAACCTTGACAAGACTGAGCTGCTCTTCCTCCCGGGAAAAGATTGTCCCACTCTTGACCTAACAATCAACATCGGCACCTCAGTTAGTTTCCCCGACTCAGACTGCAAGGAATCTGGGTGTGACCCTAGATAACAACCTGTCCTTCACTGCAAACATTCGCTGCTACAACCCGTTGCTGCAGATACACGCTTTACAACATCAGGAAGATACGTCCCCAGCTGACTCAGAAAGCGACTCAGGTTATGGTCCAGGCTCTCGTCATCTCACGCCTAGACTACTGCAACTCCCTCCTGGCTGGTCTACCTGCATGTGCCATCCGACCTCTGCAGCTCATCCAGAATGCAGCGGCTCGTCTGGTCTTCAACCTTCCTAAATTCTCCCACACCACTCCGCTCCTCCGCTCCGCTTCACTGGCTTCCGGTAACTGCTAGAATCCACTTCAAGACACTGGTACTTGCTTACCATGCTGCGAATGGATCTGGCCCTTCCTACATCCAGGACATGGTTAAACCGTACACCCCAGCGCGTGCACTACACTCTGCATCAGCCAAACGACTCGTTGCGCCCTCGCTGCGAGGGGGACCCAAGTTCCCATCGGCGAAAACACGTGGGTTTGCTGTCCTGGCTCCAAGATGGTGGAAATGAGCTCCCCATTGACATCAGGACGGCAGATAGCTTGCACATCTTCCGGTGCAGACTGAAAACTCATCTCTTTCGACTCCACTTCGAGCGTTAGAACTATTAACGAAGCACTTTTATACTAATAAAGGACTGGCTTACCTAAAGCCAGTTGAGTAGCACTTGAAATGTTTGGCTCTATGAAACCTGATGTACTTATATGATTCTGTTTTCTTCAAGGTTGTGTCTTCCTGGTCGAATGTACTTATTGTAAGTCGCTTTGGATAAAAGCGTCAGCTAAATGCAATGTAATGTAATGTAATGTAATTTAATGTAGAAGAGACATGAAGAAGAGGGGACACATGTTGATGTAGAAGAGACATGAAGAAGAGGGGACACGTGTTGATGTAGAAGAGACATGAAGAAGAGGGGACACATGTTGATGTAGAAGAGACATGAAGAAGAGGGGACACATGTTGATGTAGAAGAGACATAAAGAAGAGGGGACACATGTTGATGTAGAAGAGACATGAAGAAGAGGGGACACATGTTGATGTAGAAGAGACATGAAGAAGAGGGGACACATGTTGATGTAGAAGAGACATGAAGAAGAGGGACACATGTTGATGTAGAAGAGACATGAAGAAGAGGGGACACATGTTGATGTAGAAGAGACATGAAGAAGAGGGGACACATGTTGATGTAGAAGAGACATGAAGAAGAAGGGGACACATGTTGATGTAGAAGAGACATGAAGAAGAGGGGACACATGTTGATGTAGAAGGACATGAAAGGGAAGAAGAGGGGACACATGTTGATGTAGAAGAGACATGAAGAAGAGGGGACACATTGTTGATGTTAGAAGAGACATGAAGAAAGAGGGACACATGTTGATGTAGAAGAGACATGAAGAAGAGGGGACACATGTTGATGTAGAAGAGACATGAAGAAGAGGGGACACATGTTGATGTAGAAGAGACCTGAAGAAGAGGGGACACATGTTGATGTAGAAGAGACATGAAGAAGAGGGGACACATGTTGATGTAGAAGAGACATGAAGAAGAGGGGACACATGTTGATGTAGAAGAGACATGAAGAAGAGGGGACACATGTTGATGTAGAAGAGACATGAAGAAGAGGGGACACATGTTGATGTAGAAGAGACATGAAGAAGTGGATTTTGCATAATAGGTGACCTTTAACATGTGTATGGGATTACAGTACAAAAGTCCACATAATTGTTTAATAATTAACTTATCAAAAGGTCTTTAAGATTCCTTGTTTAGTTATCTAAAATATATGCGGGTTATCAAAGTCCATGGAGGCCCATAAGAGCTAACTCACAAAGACCGATAGATTATATGGAGTTTATAAAAAAATATAATGCTTAACCTTAACTTCCAATCAATTGTTAAAAAATGCTTTTATTGTCTTAATCAGTTATTGAAATACATGTCAACGCACTTCATTAAATGGCTTAGGACAAAAATACCCTCTTATTTCACAATTTATCAGATTGCAAAATAAATAAAATCATTTTTTCCCATCACTTTAGGAGTCCATAACCTTTAAACCCAACACTGTTAAAAAGTCACACATGATGTATGATGTCGTGCTAAATGTGAAAACACACACACTGATTCTTTGGATAAGCATGGAGGCAAAGCAGCAGCAGATTGTTTGCCTACATTTAAATAACGCTGTACAATATGTCCATGAGGATCTTTCTTAATGGACAAAACTTCTCTGTCATGGAAATAGTTACTTCATCATCAGAGATGTCTTACCTTCATGTTTGATAAAGATCCATCTGCAGCATCGAAACCCTTTGTAGCATTTTTGTGTAAATGGACACTTCCTGAAACGAGTTGAAGAGGTTTTGTTAGTATACTGTTTCACACTGTAGTTACCTAAAGGCATGGCAACACTCCAACACTTCCTCAGGTGACTGATACTGAAGTACACACTCATAGAGCTGCGAGTGTACGAATGCAAATCAAATGTTGTGCTCATTTGCTGCTTTCAAATCCGTGTTGTACGATACCAGTCACCTCTGTGGAAACATTGGTATAACGGCCCTTTGTTGTATGTCTTGTAATAATGGACCAAGAGTCTCTTAAATAAAGATGATAAATGGACTGTACTTATATAGCGCTTTATCCAGTCTTTAAGACCCGCTTTACATACGACATGTCATTCACCCATTCATTTCACACCCATTCATACAGAGCAGTGTACCTTACTCTAAGACCTAACATTCACACACCGTTGGCCATCGGGAGCAACTCAGGGTTAAGTATCTTGCCCAAGGATACATCGACATGTTGACTGCATGGGCTGGGATCGAACCAACAACCTTCTGGTTGAAAGACGACCACACTCCCTCGCAGCCACAGTCGCCCCAGCATGATAATGATGATGATGATGATGAATAGGACGCAGAGGGAGAGAGAAGTGAGATACACCAAACCAAACACATCAGGAAATCCTATCTGTGTCGGTTGTGCTTTTTTTCTATATAGTTGACATAAATACTTATTATCTACCTCAAGGCCAAAGAAATCCATTATTTCTTAAAATGATCTTCTAAATTAGAGTCAGAACCAACACAACAAATAAGTGCAACACCCACAAATATATATATATGTTATGCACAGCACAAACGATATTTAATCAATCAATAGAAAGTATATCGGCACCTGCTTTGTCCTCTAAGTATGTTGTGTGCCTGCTGCTTTTAATTCATTTAATAATTACAGTTTTTGAAGAAATAAACTTTGGTCCGGGGAAATGATGATACATCTTTCACTATTTATTGTCTTTATTTGTCGTTTTATATTTTCCTGTCATTATATATATATTTCACTCTTTAGTAGTTTGAGATGTTTATCGTTTATCTGTTTATTTCGCACTGTTTTTCATTTTCACATTGTTTGCATGCCGCTGTGACGCAAAAATGTCCTAGATTTTGATCAATAAGGTAGTTTCTTAAAGGTCCCATGACATGCTTTTCTGGTTAGTACCCGTCCCCTTGTGTGTTATGAAGGTTTTTCTGCATGTAAACGGTCTGCAGAGTCACAAACCCTCAAAGTACACCATGTAGCGAGTAAAACTATAATACAGAAAAGACCTGTCTGTGCTGCCCCAGAACGCCTCGTTGGAGATTTTCTTCCTGAGTACAGTGACGTGCCCATACCCAAATCCGCGGAGCTGTTAGGTTAAGACTTCCTCACACACACACACACACTCGATCTTTTCTCAGCTGCAGCTCCGCCGATTTCTCCTCCCTGAGACGGGGGGGACGCGGCGAGGCTGTGAGTCGGTGTGAGCACACACACAAACTCCCAGCCAGGCTGCGGGTGTGTGTGTGTGTTCGGACTGGGTTTCGCAGTGTCTCGCTGTCTCGCAGACGGCCACTGGGCTCATAGGGAGAGGGCGGGGGGCAGGAGCTCCAACAAGCCGTTTAGGACAGAGAGTGAATACACTTTACAGAGATGCTGTATGAGAAACCAATGAGAGTTTGGAACATTGCACAATATAAATCTATTCTAGTCGACCTCAACAATGGAATTATGATCAGTAGAAATGGCCATGACATGGGACCTTTAATCTTATCTATTTATTACAAAACAATACACCAGAAAATAAGCGTAAGATATCACCCTCAATAGAATCATTTATGACTTTTGTCCCAACATGATGAGTCATCCTGTGTCAACACATACGACACACCTAGTTCTGGCAGAGTGATGTGTGTATGTAAGGAAATCTAAGCTGTCCTGAACAAATTGTTTTTACGTTTTCAATGATGACAAACACAGATGTTTTTTTAGCATACAAATACATAATAAAAGGGCATAGGCAGGGGCGCCGCCAGGGATTTTGGGCCCCATGAAAATATATCACATTGGGCCCCACCACCAGGCCCAGGCCACGCAAACCAAGCACAATTGCTGTAACCACACCTCCAGAACCCAATCGACTCATTTATGCTTTAAATAACTCTACCTGTACAGGCTTGCATCTATCTTGTAGTCCAATACTAACTGCACAATATTTACTGACACTGAGCGGTGAAAATATAACAGTGTGCAGACTGCAACATTCTGCTGCAGTAGAATCCACTATTTGATATAACACTAACATTCCTGACAATAGACCTCAATAGTCATCTTTTATGGTGTACATGCCTTTTTAATAACATTTTTGAATGGAACATTCATAAATCAAAATAAGTATAACTTAAATATACATGACCTCTTAAATTAAAATAAAGTGAACATTAACACCAATATTATCATTTATAACATATAACATAAGCAGCAGATTTTCTAATTAAATATACATACCAACTACAAAATAAGCGGGTATTAAAGTGTAAATGGACAACAAAACGGAAATGAAAATGAAAAGGCCTGATGGTGGTGCTAAATTAGAGCAAAACTCTCTTGTCTTTCTCTCCTTTCTTTTCTTTTTTGAAAGCCTGACTTTGTTAGTCGTTGAGACATCATACACACGTAAGTACTCGCATCCCTGCCTCACATGCTCTCACTCTGCTAGAAAATGCCCACACAGCATTTGGAGACAGGACCAAACCATTACATGTAAATAGAGGGGGGTGTTCGATGCTTTGGTTAATTAACTTTTCGAACAAAAAAAGTTAAATGAATAGTAAGTTTAGTGAGTACATTATCAATAATGTTATATTAATGTTAATTATTGATGATTGATGAAAGGTTACTTAAACATTTGTTCTTAATGTTCTATCATTTTTGGGGCCCCTGTCAGTCACGGGCCCTCATAATCGTCCTAACTTTTCACCCCCTTACGGCGCCCCTGGGTATAGGCGACATGTCCATCTCCCTTCCAGCGAATTAATGAAACTGCAGGAACCTGTTGAACAGGCGGGACTGAGAGCATGCATACCACAGGAAGGCCTGTATTGATAGTAAATGATAGCAGACCTTCACACAGACCACGTCCTCTGATAGAGACGGACAGGTGTAGTGTTTGGTAGTCAGGGAGACAAGATAATTAGAGATAAGATAACAATGTATGTTTTATTTTGTTGTTTTTATTAGCTTTTTCACTGTGGTCAGCCTGTATGTTGCATGGTTGTATTCACTTTTTAAATGTAATTTATTTTTAGGGTTACTTTACAAGATCTGTCAAAAGACTATATTTTTTTATTATTTTTAATTATTACATTTATTTATTTTTAGAAATTAAGTGTTTTTTTTCTAAATTCAAGTAATGTTTTATGAATCTATAATAACTTAAAGGTCACCTATCATGCTATTTGTAGGCAATAGCATAGGTCTCAGATATATACAAATATATAAAACATGTCTATGAAGTGTTTTGCTCAAAACACCAAACAGATCAGCCATTCTAGCCATGCCTCATATCCCTCTATTTCACTTCCTGTTTCAAAAGTGCTGATTTTATGTATAAAGCTTTAAAAAAAATAAGAATTGATCAAAAAAAAAAGGAGGGGTCTGAGCTCACGCGGGACCCGGCAGCTACCGTCTAAACTAAATGCTGCCGTGATGAAACGCCATATCATGGATTATCAAGGATTGTTCTCTGAAACAGTCTGGAGCTCAAAGGCTTTCTCTCTTGCCGGTTATACCACAAGGTGAGTTCCTTTTTACTTCCTGCTTCTTCACACACATGCTCTCCAGTACAGGTTAGCTCTGAGTGTTAGCGATGCAAATGTAAACACCGACCATATTACGTCCAAAACAGTCGGGCATTGTTTCTGATAGCAACGTTTCTGATAGGGCCGTGGGTCCACATTTCAGATATTACGTCATATCGGACGCAAATCTGGATCAGCTCCGTTGTAGCCCCATTTTTAGAGATTTGGGTACGGAGGAAAAGAGAGAGGGTTTTATTCTCTGACGCTGCGTGAGTTCCCCGACACATCGGGGACACATGTTTATGTATAAAAGACATCAAAAAGTGCATTTTGCATGATAGGTCCCCTTTAACTAAAGTAAAAGGAGATTAAATAAGTAAAATATTGTTTTGCAACTTAAAGGTCCCATGTCATCCCCTGAGACGGGGGGGACGCGGCGAGGCTGTGAGTCGGTGTGAGCACACACACAAACTCCCAGCCAGGCTGCGGGTGTGTGTGTGTGTGTGTTCGGACTGGGTTTCGCAGTGTCTCGCAGACGGCCACTGGGCTCATAGGGAGAGGGCGGGGGGCAGGAGCTCCAACAAGCCGTTTAGGACAGAGAGTGAATACACATACTATACAGAGATGCTGTTTGAGAAACCAATGTGAGTTTGGAACATTGAACAATGTAAATCTATTCTAGTCGACCTCAACAATGGAATTATGATCAGTAGAAATGGCCATGACATGGGACCTTTAAGCATTTTTCTTTTATATTGAATTTTGAAATACAGTACATAGTTACACCTGTCCTGATTTTATTTGCTTAAATAAAATAAATCAAAGAGTTTTAGAGAAGCTAAGTGAGTGCAAGCAGACACTACTTTATTATAAGAGCCTACACGCCAAACTTATAGTTGTCTGATACAGTTATTTCCAAACTAAAGGGTAAAATGAATTATAATCTTAAAAATGACCCTTCTCAGTGTACCAAATCTATGAATCAGAATCGAGTTTATTGACAGGTACGTTTACACATAAGGAATTTGCTTTAGTGGATGATAGTGCAAACATAAACAACATAAGAAAATAATTGGTACGACGTCAAAAATATAAGGATTATAAAAAGAAAATGTAAAAAAGAACGCACACTACATTTAAATATACAAAAGAACCGTAAAAAAAAGTGTGTGAACATATCAGAGAGCCTTTGTGTGATAGCTAGTGTAAATAGGGCCTCCATTCATTCACAGGGATTCAGATAAGTTACCATTTGACACAGGTGTACAGCAATAAGTAACAGTAGTTACAAAAACAAAAACAAGTGCAGCATGTAGAAGTAGTGTGATAGCAAGGTGTACCAAACCTATGAAACTGGAGTGTGTGAACATACGTTTTGTTTTACTGCACATCAGGCACGTGCACACATAGACATCAAAGTGGGCTTGAGCCCCTGCCCTTTTTCTTCCTCCAGAGAAAGCGCCCTTTTTATGGGGTGCTTTTTTTCATTTTTTTTTTTCATCCATCCATCTTCTCCCGCTTATCCGTGGTCGGCTCGCGGGGGTAGCAGTTCCAGCAGAGAGCCCCAAACTTTCTTTTCCCTGGCGACATCAACCAGCTCTGACTGGGGGATCCCAAGGCGCTCCCAGGCCAGCGAATAGATATAATCCCTCCACCTGGTCCTAGGTCTACCCCTTGGTCTCCTCCCAGCTGGACGTGCCTGGAACACCTCCCTAGGGAGGCGCCCAGGTGGCATCCTAACTAGGTGCCCGAACCACCTCAACTGGCTCCTTTCGACGCGAAGGAGGAGCGGTTCAACTCCGAGTCCCTCCCGGATGACCGAACTTCTCACCTTATCCCTAAGGGCAGACGCCAGCCACCCTGCGGAGAAAACCCATCTCGACCGCTTGTATCCGCAATCTCGTTCTTTCGGTCATGACCCATCCTTCATGACCATAGGTGAGGGTAGGAACGAAAATGGCCCGGTAGACAGAGAGCTTTGCCTTCTGGCTCAGCTCTCATTTCGTCACAACGGTGCGGTAAAGCGACTGCAGTACCGCTCCCACTGCTCCGATTCTCCGGCCCATCTCACGCTCCATTGTTCCCTCACTCAATAAAAGAATATATATCTACTGCTGTGTTGAGAGCTTCATATGAAGTGAATACTTAAAACGAAAGTTAATTATAAATCATATATGATCAATTATATTCTTGTATGAACCCATAATGAGAATGCTTCATATTTTAGGTTTTTCTATATTTACAGCATAAACAAAACAAAGTGGTTTGTTTAGGTTGAGTGTGTAAGGTCTATGATTTATGGGTGTCACTGATAAGGAAGAGGGCAGTTTCTTCCCCTTTTTTCTCACAGCAGATCACAGGGAGGGGGGCTCCTGCCTTAAAGGAGAAACACATTGAGGCCTCAAAAAGATGGTTATGTCATAGCTGAGAATAATATTTTCCAAGTCCTACAGGGGTCATGTCCTTTTTACACAAACATGGGAAGGTGTGTCTTAGGCCATAGCCAATAGAAGATGTTTGTTGGGGATAGAGGAGGTGTTTTTGGGGGTTTCGATCCGGTTTTTTGAGCATAAAGAGACTGGTTTTTTGAGAGAGCGCGAGAGAGAGGGGGGGAAATCCCTGGTATACTCTCTTCCGGTAGGCTCTGTCCTTCAGAGCTGGGTAAAATGGTTCTCGGTAAGGTTATCCTGGAAGGCGTTAATAGGACGTACGGGAATCTTAGACCCAATAGCTTTATTTAGATCTATCCTGGAAGGCGTTATTAGGACGTACGGGAATCTTAGAACTAAAAGCTTTATTTAGATCTATCCTGGAAGGCGTTAATAGGACGTACGGGAATCTTAGACCGAATAGCTTTATTTAGATCTATCATGGAAGGCGTTAATAGGACGTACGGGAATCTTAGACCTAATAAGCTTTATTTAGATCTATCCTGGAAGGCGTTAATAGGACGTACGGGAATCTTATAACTAATGGCTTTATTTAGATCTTGGATAGATGAGAAATATGAATTAAGGTTTTAGATAAAAATATAACCCCAGCATAGATATGTTGCATATGATTATAATGTGTTAAAAGGTAAAAACCCTGTATTAGTTTGGACCTATTTTTCTTCAAATAAACTGATCTCACCTGTTGGATTGGGATAATTTAAAAGAAAATCTGCACTCTCCTCTCCTGCTTCAAAGGTAAGACTGCACCCTGCCACACTCACACTTAGGTAGGAACACACTCCATTTACTGATATCAAAATCCTTCGGGATCCCTTAAACAGATTAAAAAAGAGTTGTCTGAATAGAAACAGCAGTTAATTGAACCTGGTTCTTCGGGGGGTTAATAGAGGTGAGATCTTGCTGACGTTGGTGGATCTGAGCCAAGCAGTAAACTTACATAGACTCAATAACTTCGGTCAGGTCAATTAGTAGGTCAGAGTAATTTACCGGAATAAATTATCAGGACCTCGCCGACTCTAAACAGCTGTTTGCGCACAGTTTCCCTTTCCAAAAATATATTGATTGAATACAAAATAAAAATATCAGGTCGGGAGATTAGACTGTGAAGTTCCGATGCTCTCTACCCTCCCTCCACAGCGGTGCGAACAGTCATCGGCAGTCACTTCAGACAGACAGGTAGCAGCACCTCCCACCTTTCAGTCCCATGTTATGCCGGCTTTTCTTGGCTTGTTTGAAGGCGAGTGGTGATGAACAAATCACTAAGCTGCTAGTGCCTCGAGTTTACAGCCAAAAGACAAAAATAAATATAGTTAGGCTAACTAAGGTAGGCTACTAGCTAATGGATAAGTTAGCTCAAGGTTTAGCTAAGGCAACTTATCATGGGCATACAGGCTAATGTACTGTACTTAAGGGGAGACACAGGTGAATGCAGTAAAATGTGTATATCTAATAACGTCATCACAATTGCCACATTGATATGCAAATTAGGCGTTAACTAGGCCTAATTAAAATGCGCATGCAGTTACCAAGGCATTGCAGCTGAAAAGGTTAACAAAAACAAAAAACATAGCACCCCAGATAGTTACTTACGTCAAGTCAGTATTTTCCCTGAAATATTGTGTTTAAATATGCAGATTAGCTTTATATCTATAAATGAATTCAGACAGGGTAGTAAAACGAACACCATTTATATGTGTTTTTTGGAGGTTTTCTTTCCATTAGAGTGAAAGAAAACATGAAAGCAAAATAGACCAAAATAACAAAATTACTAAATAAGACCATTGTCTCTGTGTTAATGATTATTTTGTAAAATGATGTTGAGTATTAAAGAATTGCGTGAGTGTGAGGGTATTAAAATAAATTGGTCAGAGACGTGCAACTATATTTAACTTTTTGGTTACATTTTTTATAAATGATTATGGGAAGTGCCCTTTTTCTCACTTGAGCTCCTGCCCCCCCAAAATGTCTGTGCACGTCCCTGCTGCACATATTTTATTCCATTCTGTTTCAATGTAAATGTTACTATAGTGTTCTTAAAATAGTTCTCTATCTGTGTTTTTTTAATTCTTGTTTTACATATGTATGCACCAGACACCAAGTCAAATTCCTCCTACTTGTCAACTGGTAACAAACCCGTTTCTGATTCTGATATCTGATATCTGATATCTGAGAGCCTTTGTGTGATAGCTCGTGTAAATAGGGCCTCCATTCATTCACAGTGTTCAGGTACATTACCATTTGACACAGTCTTCCTCGTCTTCCGGGCCAGAGTGAGCTGGACTTGCTGCTGGACTCGCAGCTGGGACTCAGATCCTGACCCGGGACCGGGCAGAGCCAGGCTGCTGTCCCCCAGAGCCAGACCGTCCTGAGCGGGTAGAGCAGACTTAAAGAACACCTCGTCCATCGTGAGCTGATCCAAACCAGTCTAGTTTACCTCGGACGCTTCATTTGACTCGACAGGTAGAAACTCGATGAAGTCCTGCTTTGTTATTCCTCTGGATGATATGACGCTTGGGGCGGGGCTAGGTGAGGGGCGGGGCTTACAGCAGATTCACCTGAAGTGTCAGGTGACGCTGCAGGCAGGGATCGTTACCTATTACAACCAGGGGTGTAAAGTAACTACATTTACTCAAGTACACAGGTGAGAGAAGTAAAAGTAGAAGTACCAGAGTACTCAGTATAAATCATGCATTCAAAATGTTACTCAGGTAAAAGTACAAGAGTATTAGCATTAAAATATACTTAAAGTAGTCATTGTGCAGATTGGTCCATTTCAGAATAATATATATGATATGTTTTATAATTATTGATCATTAAAGTGTTATCAAAGCTGGTAAAGGTAGTGGAGTACACCATTTACCTCTGAATTGTAGTGGGTTAGAAGTAAAAAGCAGCACAACATTGAAATACTGAAATACTAAATTACAAGTACCTGCAATGTGTAATTAAGTACAGTACTTTTAGTAAATGTACTTAGTTACTTTCCACCTCTGGGGTTAAGTCAGCTCAAATGGGCCACTTTCCGGTCTATGTTTTATTACATCATCACCTTAGCCATTCTATTCTTATCTTAATTGTTAGGCTTCACTCATAAAAGAAAAATCCCAAATATCAACCTGAGCATAATAGGGTCCTTTAGAGATGTTACAACTTGTTTAATAATCACCTGCAAACAGAACTGGATTCTAGGTAAAGCTCCTTAAGGTTTACTCTAGGCGGGTAAACTTGTGGATTTATGCAAATGTGGTTCCTGGGGGGAAAAAATTAGTTTTACAGCTCTGTGTCATCTGACTCTGAGAAAACTGTCCAACCCAAAAATGACCTACCTGTACAGGTGCTCATCCCTGAATGGGGGGCGTTGGTGGGAAGAAACACACATTTTACCCTGAGGCCTTTAAAGCAGGTTAATCTAGTCATGACTCAAAAACAATGACGATTCAAAAACACAACAGCTGCTGAGCTACTGAAATATTTACCAAATCGTGGACATTTTTGAAACAGAGCATATGGTATAAATAAACGAAACTTCCGCCACAGTTACAACAAGATTTTTCCCCTTTAATGCAATCTTTTCGCAAAAAAAACATCGTTCCAGTCCTCGTGTCTTTTACATTAAACGTCTCTGTGCATAATACTCATGACGAAACAGTGAGAAATCTTCGCTCTGGATACATCCGTGTGACATAACAGACAACCACGCATCCAAATCCCAACATTTAGTGGACGCCGGTGTCTTACATTGTTGAGCACATACATTTCATCGTGGTGTTTTTTATTTAAATCTCATGCTTTACTCATAAAAGACTCATTCAATGACCCACACATCAATAGGTGGAGGAAGGCGGTGTTTCAGCATTAAATATAAAGATTAATGGGTTTAAATTAAATGTTGAATGTAGTGTGAGATGGTGTTTTACTCTCAGTTGAATCACAATACCAAAAAAAGTGCTTCGTTAGTTGTAATTTCAACCATGAAGGATGCAGTCAATTAAAAAAAATGCACTTTTTTAACATTACAAATGATTATATAGTGTAATTTCATGAATTATCCACCTTGATCATTATCATTTATGATGTACAGTATAACTTGACATCAAAAATGTTCCCATCTTACAATTTTTTTTTTATTTGGCACATAGTATTTCATGTTCATCAACCCACAATACACACTTACACACACACACAGGTTTGAGGTGTTTGGACTTTACCAGTCGAACAAGGCAGAGTTGATCAGATTTGTCCGATTTTAAGCAGATTCGACGAAACTCTGGGACGTTTTGAAGCATGGAGAAAACTTAAGAGATATGTTACACTCCTTCTGAACAGTGGGAATAAACAGTAACATCAAAATGTGTCTGTGGTTGTAAGCATTCCCTTACTGTCCAGACTTTATTTACCAAAAACTGCACTTCCCTTTATATTTTTAACAAAATCTAATGTTATGATTTACACCTATATTCGTTTTTGAGTTAATATTTTCTTTACCCCCCAAATCTCTAAAATGTTAAAGATTCAGTCGTTAATTTTTTTCCCGATCTAATGTTTATATACCATCCTGACAAACTTGTGAATTTTGCCATGTCATGATTTAAAATGCATTAACTCCTTCACAGTTAAACCCTTGGCACATTGTCAGCAATACAAATATTCTATACACACCGCTCTCGTTTGTTTTCTCCTACACATAGTTAAAAAATATATAAAATATTAAGAGACAGGTACATTCAGGTTAAAAACACGTTCAATGTTTCTCTGCAAAGCTATTTACAAATCTCTAGAGTCGTCATTCAGCAGTCGACACAGGAGGGAGTGAGAGTCTCTTTTTCAGCGACGATATATGTGAAAAATAATTACAAAACACAAAGTAATGACATGAAATGGGACTTTCAACCGCCAATTTTAGCCATTATGGATTTGGATTTCTGTCTTTTTGATGAAAAAGTAGGTTCGAAAACTTTCAAAGGATCATTTTATGCCTTTAATTGAGCACCCAGAATTGCGCTTGTTCAGGCAATACCAAAAAAACATGACTTTCTATTGATATAAAATGCATTACTTCTACATTTTGAACCAGTGATAGCTGCGTTTTCACTTTGAAATAATGAAAATACTTCGTAGTTGCAGCCAAGGCGCAAGTAATCCTAGTTACAAGCAAAAAAACAATCATATTGTACAGGGAAAATGTTATTTTGTGGTCTGATATCGCCTTATAGCACCATGAGACGTGATATAACAGCTTCATAGTGATTTAGAGAGCAATTCACTTCAGATCATCTTCATTGAAAGACAATCCAATTCTTTAATTAACACATTTGAATAGAATCAATGACCCTAAAAGCACGTAGAGATGTACCTTTAAATACTTAGACTGTGACAGCATGGGAACGGTAACACAAGGTTAATGCTAACGTCACGAGACATAGGCTGAATGTTAACCAGGAACACAGCAGTGTAGTGTTAAAGGATATCGATCACATGACTCAGCGTTTTCACTTTACCGAGGTATCCACTCACTGATGTCATTATTTACTTAGTTTTTAAGCGCCATTTTACCACCATGCCACTTCCTTATCTACCTGAATGTGTTCTCCTGTTAAATCGTAGTAATTTTGATTTTATATACTTCATGCATGCCTTTTATATATATAGTGTTCTCTTTTCTTTGTTTCTATCTATACAATGTACATTTCCCCTTTTTGGGACGATCAAAGGACTTCCGATTCCTCCAATGTTTTGATAGGAGATGTTGTGGTGGCTTTGTCATCTTAAATGTTAGGACCATTTGGATAATTAATGCTGACATGGTGTAAAGAAAATCCCTTTTTGTAGTGTAATATGGATATGATATATCCCTATGTCCTCATTGGTTGAGAATATGGAAACATTCCCTACATGGACATGGCTTTAGGGTCACTTACCCCTTGTATTGACTAGAAAGCATATCCATTCTGCAAAAAAAAATAAACGACGTCTGTGATTTAAAATGACCCAAAGACAACATTCATACAGATTCTGTGTAAGGCATTCCTTAGACAGCTCAGTAACTCCAGCAGAGTGTGGTGTTTCCAGCAAAAAAAGGGGTTCTTGAGATATCCACAGTTTTCCTGCTCCGTCACGCGAGACTGAATCAGTTCTGGTGATGGCTTTGGTCTGTCCTGCAGCTACGACTACAAGTTATACGGTAAAGGAAAGAGTCATTTAGATTCATGCAAGACTGTACAGGCGTTTTGAGTGACAGGAAGCTCAGTCCTATCTGCAGGAGGAGCCCAGCACGCTGCCCGTCGAGGGCGTGGTTGCCGTGGCGCTGTAATGGGGGTAGTTGTCGTTTGGGGGGGGTCCCGGGAGGATGGAGTTCCCGTTGGTGGGGGAGCAGCTGAGCTGGAGCCGGCGCAGGTAGTCAGCGTGCACCGGTTTGTGGCTCTGCAGCACTCTGATGGCCTCGTCCACCGTGAACCACTCCCGCTTCCGGCCTGCAGGGGGAGACAGACAGCAGCGTGACACACAGGAAACACCCACTGACTGACCGACTGACTGACACCACCGGGAAACTCCATTGGTTTATTATCCACATGTAATGTTGTATAATGTTTACATTTGCAAAGAGGCATTTAAGAACATTCTCAGTTTTCAGGAACATCTATCTATCTATCTATCTATCTACCTATCTACCTATCAATCTCTCTATCACATTAAATATGTGCATTATTGCATACATGTACGAAACAGAAACTGTGGATAGAGCCGGGTTCAAAGACATGTTACTAACTGTTATTTTGTAATCATATTAAAGAGAATTTTGATTCCATAAATCTGAAAGAAACTGTCAACGGCATAACAAAAAAATCACAATTAAAAAAAAAACTTACATTAAGATATATTTCCTTTGTATTGCACGTTTTCTGAAATGTTATCTTTATACATGCAAATTAGGCATTATCTAGTACTGATGCTAAAATGCTAATGCTACGTTCTCATGAATTTAGGTTGTAGTAAAATAGACAAGAAAATGACTCCAGGAATCTGAAACACTGGAGGCAAAGTAGCTCTAAAAAGTAGTGTAGTAGCTTGAAAAGGATGTCCTTGTATCCCTAAATATATTGCAATAATAAAGCAATGCTATGCTATACCTGATCTAACATCGTGTCAAAGCCATTGTGTCTAGCTGGCATGTATGCGATACAGAATAAGGCAATTATAATCTTTAATATGTTCTCTTATCTTTTACAGGGAGAAATGGTTCACTGAAAGTAGGAAGTGCCATGTGATGCAGAGCTGAAGTGTTTTGCAGAAGGCCTTCGCAACAGGAAGTGTGTGTGAAGCCAATTGGTCCGCACCAATATAATCATCATATAATGGTCATGAAATCACGGGATATACACCTCTAAAAGCGTGCTAACATGTAGTAATAAACAGTGTGTGTGGAGCAGTGACAGGTGGAGGATGCTCCCCACTGAGAGGATACAGAGTGAAGCCTACATGCTACTGAC